CTCACACGCATGTCTATAATTTGCAATACTTATGATTTGAATATCAACTGATTTTAAATGGCTAATGAAATCAATATATAATGAAATCAGATCTAATGTAAGAATAAGTATATGTTTATTATTTTTTTTCTTTCCGTTTATTTTCTTCATCCACTATCAATCGAATATTATTCTCCACCTGACTGACCAAACAGAGTGTTATTACATTTTGCGTTGTTGCATTTTTATTAATATCGACGCAAAATGTAATAATAAAAAAAATCGTGTTATTGCATTTTGCGTTATTACATTTTGCGTTGATCTCGACGCAACATGTAATAATCCTAAAAAAAATCTGTTTTTACATTTTGCGTTATTACATTCTGCGTTGATATCGACGCAAAATGTAATAATGGAAAATGCAATAATCCCGGTTTATTACATTTTGCGTTGTTGTTACATTTTGCGTTGTAACAAGGCTGTCCGAAGGCTAAATATGCATTAATATATAAATTTGATTTTGAGTTAGATTTTAATTTCAATTTGTAATCTATGTATGAATTTGCAGTCAACTTGTGATGAGAGTGTGATCAGGTATTATAATAATGCATTTTTGTGATGTCACATGACTTTGTTGATCACGTGACAGACACTTATAAATATCTAAATTTTGCACAAAAATCGCATTGGCACAAGTGCAAACACCATTATTGAGAAAAAATATCACATAAGTCAATTCATCGTGATCTTTGGTACAGACCCTGAAGCGTGCTACTACCCCAAAAAAGCGTGTGACTTTTGTGCGCTTTTCGTTTTGTGCAAACCGTGTAGCGTTTCGTGTAAACCGTGTAGCGTTTCGTGTAAGCTCCAAAGCGTTTCGTGCAAACCCGTATAGCGAGTGTGCGAGAAGCGTGTGAGAAACGTGAGACTTTCGTGCAAGAACCGTGTGAGAAACGTGCGACTTTCGTGCAAGAATCTTGTGAGAAACGTGTAGGATTCATTCGGAAGTCACTTTATTTTAAATATGGCTATTGATGGATCAAAATGTCATTCTGTGTTTTTGTAACCAATATTATTCGGATCTATCATACCGGTGGTATTTCAAAAGAGAAAAAAAAATACGGAAACAACAAAATAAAAATACTCGGTATTGTATTACATATTTGTTTGATTTTCGTTCTTTTTTATTTAAATAAAGATGGAAAGAAAATGTGTTCAAAGTAATTATTATATGCAAATCAATTTTAAGGTATTTGATTCAATACATTTTTATAGGGAGCAATACTGAACATTTTTTTTTAAAGAAAATTCATCAGGAATTCTTTTCATTCATTAATTTGAATCTCTTCACCATTTTACAATTATTGTATATAGAGATTACAAGAACATTTGGGGGATTAATACAAAATAATAGATAGATAAGACAGGCGTGAAAAATAAAATACAAAATTTAGTGCGTTGCTATAAATGTGAAATATGGGAATTCTAGGCCGGGGAGCACAATAATTTTTTTTTCTTTATAAACGAACATAATTTTCTTACAAATAATTTTGAAACGATTAGTCATTTATAGTCTTTTTATGGATTAAATTGGTTGATTAATAATTGCCATATAAATGAATTATAATTCACATGCATCGGAAAATACAGGTTTAAATATTTCCGGGGGGGGGGGGGCAAACTTTGAGTTTTCGTTGTAAACAAGTTTTTTATAGATAATTTTGTTTTTAAAGAAAATTATTGCTTTTTTCGGGGTGCGCCCGATGCACCCCTTACCCTTAAAAATATTTTGGAATCTTCTTTACACTTCCAACACTCTTCTTACGACTCTGATCAAGGTCATTTACAACAGCGATCACGGGCTACGCGTGCCGGGAACTGAAAACGTGTCCTGCTACATGTATTAGCTCTTGTCAATCATGGCTAGGATGACAACCGACAATAGCGATTGATTTTTTAATTCGTGAAGTTAAATTGTTTTATTAGTATTTAATGGGTATAAATAAATACCCGTGGATTTTATTTTTTAAATTTATCCGATAATCTGTAAAGAGTGAATTAATTTGCCGGTCTATTCGTGAATAAAAATTATAAAGAAATAAATCCTTAATAATTTTATAGTAGTTGTTTTATTAATCATTCTTGAACATAATTTTTTAGCTTTCATTGGTCATGTATACATGTATATTGAATGTATTGTTAAGAGCCGCCACTATTGATTACATTTTTTTTGTCTAGACGGGGTTTGAGATCAAGGATTTTACAAGGTGGTGGGTATATTGTTTTTATTTGATAAACTCAATGCCTCAAAAGAGAAATAAAGAATTACAATACCTATCCTGCCCCCCCCCCCCCCGACTTCTCTGCCATATTAAATCTAAATGTTAAATCAAAGTTTAACTCCGTAATGAAACGATATATTTATAATTCTGAATAAAGTGCAGTTAATGAATAATATGTATCGGGTCCCGCTGGAGATATGGATATCCTTTTTTTTTCTTAGAACGGGCATTTGTTTCTATAATATTTTTTCCCAATGGTATACTTACTGAAACAAGTGCCAGTTATATTTAGCCATGTACAGAAGTAAGATCTCGGTAATCTAACCCCCCCCCCCCCTTTCCTGCATAATGTTCTTGTGTGATGCAGTGTACATATTACCTTAAAGTTTGCAAATTATAAAAAGATCCTAATTTAATCGAATAAAATTATTTATTTACTAAATCAAAAAAAAAAAAAAAATGAATAAATCAATCAATTATTAAATTAAAAAAAGAAGGGAAAAGAAAATCAATCCGTTTACAGAAATCATACGCAATTTAACCTTTTTTTTCCCACACCAATAACTGAGTTTATTTGTCAGTAATAAAAAGACTTTTTAATATCAAACTATAATTGTAAAATCATGGAATTCTGTAAAAGATTATGAATTCCAAGAATATTTTTTTTTCAGTGCGTAATTTAGAGTATAGTGAAAAAGATTTGTACATAGACGATGATAGGCATTTCACCGGGCGGGTCACATACTCAATGACAACTATTAATTAATTACAACTGAACATTGAGTATTTTATCTGTGAATATAGTACTGGTGAAGCGAGTTTTACTCTTTACTTAATCTAAATGATTGCAAGTCTTAATTAATCTTTTATTAATCCGTGATAATTTAGATAAAGTCCGAGAGATTCCGAATAGAAAATCCAGATCGAGGCCAAAGCGTGTGATAAACGTGTACAAAGCGTCTCGTGCAAGCTTTCATGTAAACCGTGCAGCCTTTCGTGTAAAGTGTTTCGTATTAACCGTGTAGCGTTTCGTGCAAACCGTGTAGCGAGCGTGTACCGTTCGTGCAGCGTGCGTGTGGGGTAGTACATATAGCGCGTTTCAGGGTCTGTACGTATAAAGTGCTGGGGGCAACTTTGAATTTTACTTCTTGAGAAAATTTTCCACGAGAAATTCAACTTACCCAGATACAAGGGAAAATTTTCCACTCTATATAGCAACTTATACAAAATAGGATAAATTAAATACAATCCATTAGCAAAATTCGGTCAGACATACTTCTCTAGTAGATTCACACAGAATATCTTCATTATCGTTATTAATCACTTGTGTCAGTCAAATATATACATGATTTATAAATTCCAACTCTGTCCAGGGACGTGTACATGTAAGGGGGAGCGTTTCACATTCAATTTTTGTTATTGTTTGAATATATGTATATCGGACAATTTAAAGAATAACGATATTAAATTGCAAAGGTTCAACATCATAATAGCACACTAAAGCTTAAAGAACAATCATGACACTTGAATCAAACAACAACGCTAAAAAAATCTTTACACGTCATGTAAAAAAAATGTAAGAGTTATGACATTTTCCCCGTCATTTCAGCTCAAGTATGCAGTGACTTGACGTCATATGCCACTATGACGTCATATCTAGGTAGTTAAGAGAAGTTAGTTTGAAATTTTACGGAGAGCCTTATCCTAGCTGTGCAGGTTATCAATGGCCACTTGAAGCTAATCAGGTGACTCGTGCCTCGGACTCTAAATGTAATGGAGCGTAGCAGAGTCAGCCGAGGATTGCCGATTGATGGCAGCTTACATCCGGGTTTCAAACGTAATTTGTCATCTCTCTCGCTCTAGATGACTATCATAAAAGAAGATGGAATACACACGCACACCCACCCACCCACATATATATATATATATATATATATATATATATATATATATATATATATATATATATATATATATATAGTCGGTCACGTGATCAAATCCTATAACGCCCAAAGGGCGTTATAATAGATTTGATCACGTACCAACTTCGTGTCATACAACTGTATCTCAATGAAACTCTAAAAAAGTTACGTTTTATTTCTTATATTTATATTTTATACTTTTATTCGTTTTAAAAAGAAAAAAATACGCTCTATTTAAACTTCGTTATGAAAATGCAACATAACGTTCCAACGACGTCATGTGACGTCACAGTCAGACCTTTCCAAATGCGCGCATAGTTTGCTTTCTATACGCAAGAAAGTCTGTTCACATGACCAACTGCATGTCATTGAAAATTGAACGTCAATTTGATTCGTATTGTCATATAATGAAAGACATTTGCAAATGTTAATACCAACCCGTATTTATATCCCGATAGATGTTTAAAAATGATACAGTATTACTTATATTTACATTTATGACTTATTCATATTTTGTATTTTCCTGATTATAATCTTTAACGCGTGAAATGTTTTATTTTTCAAACTCAACGGCACGTATTTGATCCATTGATTGCGCGTCGACCCTTTATGACGTCACTGAGAAATTACGTCGAACGTTTATGACGCGAAGAACCCGTGTTTATACGGATATAGATACACATTGCTTTCAAAAGCGTTATATAAAGGAAAGCATTTGCAAATGTAAATATGTATATATATATATATATATATATATATATATATATATATATATATATATATATATATATATATATATATATATATTTATATTAACCTCTAGAGCAACATTTCCAATTTCCTGCTGGGCATTGGCTTCTTCACGCAAAACCCTCTCATTATCAACTTCATGTCCAATTTCCTGCTGGGCATTGGCTTCTGCACGCAAAACCCTTTCATTATCAACTTCTTCCTCCCAAATATTCTCATATACATTTTCGTCGTCAGCGTGCTCATTGTTTCGTCCATTTTGTAAATGACCATTCAAAGGAGCCGCAGCGCCCTACATAAAAACTCAGAAATAAGTTTTGTAAGTGCGAATATATTCATGTATGTTTATAGTAACACTTTTTTTCCCGCTAGAACATTTTGAAGTTGAATAATTAGTTGCTTAAAAATCTGAAGGATCATACCTGTACCTGAAGTACTCTCTCTTCTTTAAGAGCACCATTTCCATTTGCATTATTTGATACACTTCTGTTTTTATCTTTCCTGCGTTGATAGCATTCTCCTGTCTGTTTAATTAAATTTTGATTGAATGAGCTTTACATTGTTAAAACATAGATATTTCCCCATACCATCTTTATTATGTATTTATATAAATCTGTATTACTTATTTTTAACAATGTAGGGGTTTTTACTTTCAATTGTAAAGATTTTAATAGGGATAGGGATTTAATTTTAAATATTATTAAATATCTCCTCCACATCCCCTAGACTGACTTCTTCTCTACTACAACTGGGAATATCCCGAATCGATGCTGCTTCTGGAATCCGATCTTCAGCGTATTCATCTTTTACTCTCCTGTCTGTCGTGTGCCACTTCTCATTCCATCCAGTCTTTAACTTTGTCTGTATTAAAGAAAAGTCACATATCAACAGAGATACTAAGCATGTTTTATGAATCAGTTATCAGCAGCTCGACTCTTTGTTACTGAATACACGTATATTTCAACATTCATATTTTATTCTCTAATGTATTATTTTATATGTATTAAAATAGTTATTATTTAATGTACTCTTCAGGTATGGTTTTGAGGAGTGATGCCAAATGACAAAAACAAAACCTTCATAACACATAAATTCTATATAGGATATATTTGTAGGACAAAAACGTATATTGATATGTTTGCATATAAACTTGAGTTTTTGAGATCCTACACAAAACCTCTGTGAATATATTATGGCATATGCTCATACCAGGAAACCTTTAAACTAGGATGGTGTTTCAACTAGGTCCTTTGTCGGGTGTCATTGCTTTTGATGCTTTGATAAAAATTAATTCTTTGTTTACAAACTTTTTTTTTGAAATGCATAAAATCCTGAGGCAAATTTCAAAACTGAAGGACATTTTGAAGAGACGCCAAATATTAACATACATGGCCATAAAACTATCTACTACAAAATAAAAAAAATGAAGATTATCCTTCTTTTATATCAAACGCAATGTACACATACTTTACATTGTAGGTTTTCCACTGATAATATTTCAAAATATTCTTGATTTACAATCATAGTACCCATAGATAATCTTACACAGAATGTTAGCATTCATTACCAGGGGTTTTTCAACAAAAAATGTTTGTGAAAAATAACGAAATAACATTCAAGTTATAGTTGGTATTTCCTCAAAATTTGATTTAGAAGAGATATACATGATAATAAGGCACTATTAAAGTTAGAAAAAGGTCCTTCAATTATTGGAATTCTTAAATTTAACGGAATAAGTAAGTGAGCCTCATAATTACTTTGCGTATGTCCTTAAACAATAACTGGTGACATTGAATTTGTTCCGTACAAAAGCTACAAAATGTTAAAGCTAGCTTCTCATGATTTTTGGTAGTTGAAAATGGGTATAGTGTGTGTACTTCATATTTCAAATGATGCGATGTCGCCTTTTTTTTAGCTAACCTGAGCCGAAGCCTCAAGTGAGCTTTACTGAACACATTTTTCCCGGCGTCCGTCTGTCTGTAAACTTTTCACATTTTCGACTTCTTCTATGAAAGAACCACTGGGCTAATTTCCACCAACTTGCCACAAAGTATCCGTGAGTTAAGGGGATTCCTTTTTTTTTAAATGAGGGGCCACGCCATCTTCCAAGGGGAGCTAATGACAAATTAGTGAAAAATGAATGGCATCCTTTGAAAATCTTCTCAAAAACAACTGAACCAGGAAATATGAAACTTCTGTGGGAATATCTTCAGGTAGGTAGTGTAATTTTGTTGAAATCACGACCCCCGGGGGTAGGGAGGGGCCACAATGAACGATCAAAGTTTTACATAGGAATATATAGGATAAATCTCTTGAATATCTTCTACTGAAGAAAAGCAAAGTCAAGATTGGTCATATTTATATAGAAGCATTCCTATGCAGTGTAGATGCAAATGTGTTCTAAATATGACCCTCGAGGTAGGACGGGGCCACAATAGACGAGCAAACTTTTACATTAGAGTATATAGGAAAAATCTTCTAAAAAATTGCAATGCCATGATTGGTTTATGTCTTCGGGTAGAGTAGTTTCAAGTTTGTTCAAATCATAACCCCGGGGTAGGGTTGGACCAAATTGTAAGCAAATCATACCTCACGTTCAGGTGTAGGTCGGGACCAGTTATGCATTTAAACTATTCAATACTGAACTGATTTTTGCTTCTGTTCCCTATCCATAATGCTCAGGAGAGCGATGTGGCCCATGGGCCTCTTGTTATGATTTTTCACTGTAGATCTGCTAACACGACAACCAGTATGACTCGAGGTTGCAATATTTTTTTGTAGTTACTACTATTGGGTCATTTTAAGCACTGGTAAGAATCGCTCAATTGTATAAATAAACCCATAGCACGACCCTGAACAATATTTCTACAATTATTAATTATCATTAAATAATTCCTTAGTCACCTTTGAATCAATTACTATTAAACTAATATCAAAGAACAAGCGTATCACCTTGAACGCACTTCAAGGGCTTTTCATCTTTATTTTCATTTTAAAAAAAGATATTTAAATGCAAACCAATAGAGTGATTAAAAACAGACTCCTTGTATATATAGGTTGTCATCAGTTGTAAGTGAATTCAGGTCCTTTTGTAAGGAATATTATATCTTAGTATGTATAATTTTAAGGATTAATCTCATCAGCAGAATCTACCGCTTTCCTTTTGGCATTTGGTTTTTTAGGTATAGCCCCTCTCGCACGTGCTTCCCCTTCTCCAATTTCTTCGTACATGCATGTATTTCCTTCGTCAGAGCCCTCCGCCATTTGCCCCATTGCTGAACTTTCATTCAAAGGAGCTGGGATACTCTACACGAGAAAGTCATAAATAAATTGTATGTGTGCAAATTTATACGTGTTTGTTTAATGTAATACATTTAAAAGTTGAATTTGCACTAATTTATGTGTATTCACTAATTCATGTTTATAGAAGGACACCTTTTTTTTTCTAGAGGAAAGACTTGAATGCTTGGTTGCCTTAAAATATGTAATATCAATACTAGTACCTTAACTACTCCTTCTCCTACGAGAACATAACATTCATATCCATTATCTGGTACAATATTGTTTTTATCATTTGTTCGTTTTTCATTATATTCTTTCTGTATAATTAAATTTTGTTTTGAATTAGCCTTGTTTTGTAACAAGTAGAATTTTTTTTTTTCATGCCATCTTTATTATGTATTTTTATAGATCTGTATTACATGTATCTGTTTTCCATTAATTTATGTAGAAATTTTGTGTTTTATGAAACAGATTTCATCAGCTCGACATTCTGTTACTGAATCCACATATATTTTAACATTCCATATTTTATTCTATAATGTATAAATCGTCTTCTTAAGAACTGCAAAGCCATGATTGGCCAATATCTTCAGGTACTGTAGATTCAAGTTAATTCACATCATGACCCCGGGGTAGGGTGGGGCCACAATGTAGACATCCTTAGTTTTTGTTCAAATCTTACTCCCCCCTTTGAGGTGTAAGTGGGGACCACTTATGCATTTAAACTCCTTAATACTAAACTGATTTTTGTTTTTTTTTTTCTATGCACGGTGCTCGGGTGAGCGATGTGGCCTATAGACCTCTTGTTTTAAAACCAGTATCGAATTTACTCCATGACTGGAGGTTGCAATATGTTTTTGTTTTTATTACTGTTGGATCATTTTAAGCATTGGTAAGAATCACTCAGTGGTATAGATAAACCAATAGCACGACCCTGAACAATATCTCTACAATTATTAATTATTATTAAATATTTTTTAGTCACCTTTGAATCAATTACTATTAAACGAATATCAAAGAACATGTGTATCACATTGAACGCACTTCAAGGGCTTTTGATGTTTAAAAAAAGATATTTAGATGCAAACCAAGAGTGATTAAAAACATACTCCTTGTATATATAGGTTGTTATCAGTTGTAAGTGAATTCAGGTCCTTTTGTAAGGAATATTATATCTTAGTATGTAAAATTTTAAGGATTAACCTCATCAGCAGAATCTACCGCTTTCCATTGGGCATTTTGATTTTTAGGTATAGCCCCTCTCGCACGTGCTTCCCCTTCCCAAATTTCTTCGTACATACATGTATTTCCTTCGTCAGAGCCCTCCGCCATTTGCCCCATTGCTGAACTTTCATTCAAAGGAGCTGGGATACTCTATACGAAAAAGTCATAAATAAATTGTATGTGTGCAAATGTATACACATATGTTTAAAGTAACACATTTAGAAGTTGAAATTGCACTGAGTTACGTGTATTTACTAATTCGTATGTTTATAGAACGACAACTTTTTTTTCTAGAGGAAAGACTTAAAATTGAATGTTTGGTTGCCTTGAAATATGTAGTATCAATACTAGTGCCTTTTCTACCCTTTCTCCTACCGGAACATCATATTCATTTCCATTATCTGGTACCATATTGCCTTTATCATTCGTACGTTTATCATTATATTCTTTTTGTATTATTAAATTTTGTTTGAATTAGCTTTACTTTTCTTATTACTAGAATTTTTTTCCATATCATCTTTATTATGCATTTTTATAGATCTGTATTACCTGTTTTCCATTTATTTATGTAGAAATTTAAGAAATCTTGTTTTCAGCCATAAAGATTTTGATAGGGTTAATGTACGATATTAATTTTTAAATTTTACTGACTACGTTTCTACTACAACTTGGAAGAATCGATGCTGCTTCCGGATTCTGACCATCAGAGTATTTTTCTTTTACTCTCCTCTCTGTCGTATCCCCCTTTTCATTCCATCCAGTCCTTAAGTTTGTCTGTATTACAAGGAAAAGTCACATGAAAGCAGAGATATTAAGCATGTTTTATGAAACTGTAATCTCCAGCGGGATACTTTGTTACAGAATTCACATATATTTTACCATTTCACTTCTTTTTATCATTCAATATCTTTTATATATTAACATAGTTATCATTTAATGCATTCTTCAAATATACATTTTGCCAGTAAGGTAGCTCAGTCTTGTAGAGCGCTCTCTCCGTGATCGGAAGGTTGTGTTTTCGAATCACTGCCGGGACTGACCTAAGTCAATAACAAGAGACCCAAAGGCCTTAACGGTCACCTGAGTATAATGCAACAACTTAGAGGATCCATAGAGTATTAAATAAACTGATAGATGAAGCTTTGTTGCCCGAAAGCAAGAGAAATAGGATGATCAAACTCAATGAAATAATTCGTCTAGTATTCAGTAACAACTCATACATTAAATTCTAATCTATCCCCCATTTATCACTATCACCATGCGCCTATTAACACACAATTGGTTATTCTGTACTACTTTTAACCCCACATTGTAACCTCTCACCTTGGCCTCTCTTGGTCTTTGAAGTTATTTTTTTTTCTCATTTTTATTTATTTATTATTTACAAGTCTACCTGATCATTAAAACTATGAAAGTACTTTCTGTATTATTCAATAATTTTTTTTTTGCATAATTTTCTTATTCTATTAACTTTCAAATACTATATTTACAGTGATTAATTATCAAAAGTGAATGGCAAAGGGGAAAAATCAATTAATAGAACCCTGGCTAGGACCAGAACACTTGACCAAATGGTCCTGATGTTCAAAAATCTGGTAAAAATATCCTTGCTTATTAAATCTTTAATTCTGTTTGCCTTCGATATGCAACGGAGCAGAGAAGATTTTCAAAGAAATAATGCATTTTCACTACAGATTCTACACACCCCTACCCTAACACAAAAACCCATGTCCCAGGGTCATGAAATTCATAAATTTGGAAGAGGTACCCTCATCATCAGAACTATGCACTTAGTTGAAGATTTTCAAAGAATTAACACATTTTCACTTTATTAATAAATAAAGCCATCCGAACCCCCAGCTCCGAGAAACACCAAAACTTGGAGACCACAAGATTTAAAAATTTGTAAGAAGCACAATTGTTCATCATAACTATGCACTTTGTTTATCTGCTCAACACTAAGGAGCAGATACGATTATTTAACAGAATTAATGTATTTTCACTATATCATCAATAGAGCCCCACCCTCACACCAGAACATCTGACTTAGAGGCCATTAAACTTACAATTCTGGAAGAAGCACTTTTGTTCATCATAACTACACACTTAGTTTCTTTACTTTATAACCAGGAGCAGAAGAGAATATTTTCAAAGAAATTATGCTTTTTCACTATATAATCAATAGACCCCCCCCCCCACCCTGGGGCCATGAATTTCACAATTTTGGGAAAAAAAGCATCCTTGTGCAACATAACCATACACTTAGTTTGTTTAAATCATACCCAGGAGCAGAGAAGAAGATTTTCAAAGAATTAATGCACTATTTTCCCTATATTATCAATAGAGCCCGCCCTAACACCAGAACCCCGACCCAGTGGCCTGGAAATTCACAAGTTTGAAAAAAATGGCATCAATGCGTATCATAACCATGCACTTAGCTTGTTTATATAATATTCCGGAGCAGAGAAGAAGATTTTCAAAGAATTGATGTATTTTCACTATATAATCAATAGAGCCTCGCCCTAACACCAGAAACCCTGACAAAGGGGCCTGGAAATTCATAATTTTGGAAAAAGCATCATTGCTTATCATAACCATGCACTTAGTTTGTTTAAATAATACCCAGGAGCAGAGAAGAAGATTTTCAAAGAATTAATGCATTTTCACTATATAATCAATAGAGCCCCGCCCTAACACCAAAACCCCTGACCCAAGGGCCATAAATTTTTCAATTTTTGGAAAAGGCATCATTGCTTGTCATAACCAAGCACTTAGTTTGTTTAAATAATACCCAGGAGAAGAGAAAAAGATTTTCAAAGAAATAATGCACTTTCATTATATGATCTATATAGCCCCGCCCTAGCACCAGAACCCCTGACCCTGGGGCCATGAATTTAACAATTTTGGTAGAGGGCCTTATGCTTATTTCAATCATGCCAACAGTTTGACTGCTTGATGTCCAGGAGTAAAGAAGAAGCTTTTTAAAGATTGCATCAATTTGGTGGTTCTAGTCTCACCCCTGGGGCCCCAGGGGTGCAGGGACCATGAATTTCACAATTTTTGTTCTCCTTCACCCAAAGATGCTATATGCCAAATTGGTTAAAATTGGTTGAGCGGTTCTAGAGAAGGAGTTGAAAATGTTCAAAAGTTAACGCAGGACGGACGACGACAGACAAAAACGGATAGCAATAGGTCACCTGAGTGACTCAGGTGACCTAAAAAATAGGTGGCATCTTTTCCTTCACCAAGTGCTTAGGACTTTGAAGTGAAAGTTGAGAGTCTTTCGGATGAGACCTTAAAAACCGAGGCCCCGTGTCTAGGCGTTGGCATGATAAAGAATCCTCATTGCTCAAGGGCCCCGAGTGCCGAGTGAAGGTCTAAATTGGAAGCTCTTCACCGGTATATGGTAACGTGTCTATATGACTGAAAAATTCTCGAACGGGAAGTAAAAGTAAAACAACATACAATGAATCAATCAACCAAATATACATTTAAACAAAAGGCACATGAACCGCATCGCTCACCTGAGCACTTTGGCTAGAAAAATGAAGAAATCAGTTCAGTATTGAAAAGCTTAAATTCTAAAGTGGTTCGGAGGGGAGGCTGTGTTTTGATTTGAACAAACATGACTAATAATATCTTTGGTGTTCTTAAGAAGAAATTTTATTGATTTATCCCTTATATTCCTTTGTATAACTATGATCCCCTGTTATGGCCCCTCTATACCCTTGGGGGGATAATGATTTGATCAAATTTGAATCAATATTACCTGCAGAGGATGCTTTTATTTCATTATGACCAATCACGGTTTAGTTGTTCTTGAGAATAAGATTTTTTAAGATTTTCCCTATGTATTCCTATCGCCCACTGTGGTCCAATCCTACGCCCTGGGGGTCATGATTTGAACAAACTTGAATCTACACTACCTGAGGATGCTTCCATATAAATATGACCAATCAAGGCTTTGCTGTTCTTGATTAAAAGATTTTTAAAGATTTTTCCTATGTATTCCTATATAAAACTTTGATCGCTCACTGTGGCCCCACTCTACCACCGGGGGTCATGATTTGACCAAACTTGAATTTACACTACCTGAGGATGCTTCCTCGTAAGTTTCATATTTTCTAGCACAGTGGTTCTTGAGAAGAAGATTTTTGAAAGATGCCATAATTTTTTTCACGAATTCGCAATTACCTCCCCTTGGAAGAAGGCGTGGCCCTTCATTTGAAACAAACTTGAATCCCCTTTACCCAAGGATACTTTGAGGCACGTTTGGTTGAAATTGGCCCAGTGGTTCTTGTGAAGAAGATGAAAATGTGAAAAGTTTACAACGACGACTACGACAACGACAGACAACGGACAAATTTTGATCATAAAAGCTCACTTGAGCCTTTAGCTCAAGTGAGCTAAGAACGAAGAAAATTGTCAAAAAACCTTATGTTCATAAGTGATATTCCATGCATCATTGATTTGTTCCACAAAAACGTATTTGGTATTGCATATTAACATGACTTTTTGAGATCCTGCTATTTTTGAGAGAATTTTTTTTTCAAGTCAATAAAAAATATCTATGGTCATATGATGGCATTAAATGATAATTGTTTGATATGTAAAATACATTGATTGATAAAAACAAAAATGAAATAGCAAAATATATACGAATTCTGTAAAAAAAAAAAAAAGTATTCCGCTCCACATTAATTCATGATAAAGTAAAAAATATTAAAACAAAATGAGAAAAAAAGAAATAACAAATATATGATTTAAAATTTCATTTCTCTTCTATATTTAATGTTTTCTTTAACCACCTCTCGACAAAAATCGGATCCACGTTCCACGCTCCTTTCATCTACTCTTCCATCGTGGACATCTTTTTCTTTCTGATTTCTTTGCGAAACAACCTGCTTTGTTTTATATAAAATATTCATACTTTTATACATGTTAACCTACATGTTTATGATATTTATTTTATTTAAAACCATTTTCATTCGGGATGTAAATGTTTAGTGAAAAGAACCAGCCAACAGTATAAGCCTATTTGAGCCCTTAAATTTCTTAGAATTTTGAACCTTTTCATGGGCGGATACAGGATTTGTGATTAGGGGGGGGGGGGGGCGTGGATAACTTCGTTCAGGCAGGGGGTCTGGGGGTGGCCTTAAGGCCCCCCAGTGGGTCCAGGGCGAAGCCGTGGTGGGGGCCCAGGGGGCGAAGCCCCCGGAAGCTTCTGGGTTTTCGTGAATTTGAAGAGTAATACCAGGCACAAAAATAGTGGTATTAATTAGTTATGTACACTACGATATTTCACTTTTAAAAGAAAAAAAAACGCATACACACACACACACACACACACACACATACAAAAACAACTAACAAACTAGATCAGATTTTAAAAATAGCATTTTACCTAGATA